AAAATCTCCACTGATTTAGATTTTTAATTTTCACTACTTACTGCTATCAATGAGCCTTCTCTTCTGTCTTCTAATATGCTTTTTCATATCTGCTGTGGCCTAGAAACTCCCAAAAATATTTGTTTGAGTTATTAATGTGTCAGTGTTGAGTAAATAGGTATCAGATGAGTGCCTTAGGTAGTTTCTCTCATGAGAGAAGTATATGAGCTTTATTTTATTGATGGCTATTGATACGTTGTTTGTCTAGAATATCTTTGTTGCACATTTCCTGGAGCAAATATCTTTCATTTGAATCCTACCAATTAGCTTAAGAAAACTCTTGTTACTTTGGTACATGTTAATATGGTTGAGGTTTTGAATAATTTTTTGTATAATTATACATGTATTTTAAATAGTGCTTATTTTGATAAAATCGTGAAAAATTATGAACAAATTTTAAAATATTTTGTTTTAACAAAAGGCTGAAAAACAATCAGCTAAACTACAGGCCGAACGCTTGGAAAAAGAGCTACAATCAAGCAGTGAACAAAATACCTTTTTAAATAGTAAAGTACATAAAGCCGAAAGAGAAATAAGCACATTGACCAGTACGGTAAGTTATTTTGTTTCTGTTTCATTCTTTTAGAATGCTTGATACCATATGATAAAGAAATTTTGTTTTTAATGGTTTAGTTCCCTTTACTGAAATCTTATTTTATTGTATCATTCTACCTTACAAGAAGAAATAAATGCATTGACCAGTGGAGTATGTCATCTTATGCTTCTACTTCATTCTTTTTTTTTTCCCCCCCTTAGAGACAGGGTCTCGCTCCGTCACCTAGGCTAGAGTGCAGTAGCCTGATCATAGCCCACTGTAACTTCGAGCTCCTGGGCTCAAGTGATCCTCCTGCCTCAGCCTCCCGAGTAGCTGGGACTACAGGCATGAGCCACTGTGCCTGGCTACTTCATGCTTTAGAATACTTGGTACTGTACAATGGCAAAGAACTTTTGTGTTTAAATAGTTTAGTTCTCGATATTGAAATCTTTTTTATCCTATTATCCTACTTTCCAAATATGTGCAGAATCTGACCAGTTCTTACCACCTCCACTGTGGCCATTCTAGTCCAAGCTAGGTTCAGTTTCCATGCTAGCTTGCTAGCTGGTCTTCTCTCTACCCATTCAGAGTCCTGTATGATCTGGATCCTGCAATCTTTCCACAGCCATTACCATCCATTTTTCCTCCTGTTCACTCCCTCTCCCAGCCCTCTCTCTCTTCTTTGAGCAAACTCACTGCTTCCCCAGGGCTTTTGTATTTGTGTGCCTGGCGTTGTCTTCCCTCACATATCTACATGCCTTGCTTCTACGCCTCTTTCAGATAGCACCTGATCAGAGAGACCTTCCTTGTAAATAGCATCTTCCCTCTCTTTCTGCCTTACTATCTTCTTTACCTACTTTATTTTTCTTCATAGCTCTTAATACTGTTTGATATATTTATATTTATTTGTTTATTTTTTGTCTCACTTTTTCTTTCCCACCACCTTCCCCTCAATCAATTGTAAGCTCTAAGAGAACAAGGACATTGTTTTTATCACTACTTTTTCTCTAGCTCCTAGAACAGTGCTGGCACATAGTAGGTACTCAATAAATACTTCTTCAATGAATAAATTAATATTAGTAGCGTCATCTGTGTTTGTTATCTTTAAAAGAATGTAATAATTTGAATATTCCAAAAACATTTTTATATACAAGGTTTTTCTCAAACTTAAAGGTTTCGTTCTCCTCAAATACAATATGTATAAGGAATCTAATAACCAGAAATAGGATAGGAATGATAAAAGTATTTTATACACTATTGGCCTCTGGAGTCAGACAGACTGGATTCAAATTCTGATTTTTCCCTTTCTAAAGCTATATGACCTGGGGCATTTCACTTTCTCTCTGAAACTTTAGTGTCTTCATCTATAAAATGGGACTAATACTTCAGAGTTGTGGCAAAAATTAGATATTATGCATAAAGAATGTTAGCATGTTAGCATAGGGTCTAACAAATAATCACTCAATATTAGCTATTATTATTGGGATTTGGGTCACTTCTAAGAACTTGGAAATAAGACCTGTTTCCGAGTCAGTGAAATCATTTCATTTTCTATCAGGGTAGAGTTATATGAAATGACCTAAAACAGGATGGCTCCCAGACTAAAAGGCATTCACTATAGCCTAGTAGAAATAGTGAATTTATCTAAAGGAATAATGTATTCATTATAAATTCCTTGGCCAAGCAGTTGCTTGAGAGGACTCAAAGATAGTGTTTATGACAGAGGGGAGAAAGAATTTTAGTCAGCAGAATTTATTGTGGTCCCATCGAAAAGATTATTCTTAATGTGGAGAATAAACCAATCTGTCTTAATCTGTGGTCATGAAGGAATCCATTCATCTCAGTCGGTCTATTCTGATTCCATGATCACCAAGCAACCTTCTTACTGTGTAATTTTGTCTACGGGGAGAGAAGATAGTAATCCTTCAGATTTAAGAGTATTCTAGTTATTGTTATATTTTTTCTCATAATTACTAAACTGCCATTGTGACTTTACAGATCATTCTTTTTAAACTTTATTAATGTGAGTCTAACCTTGGGAGTCTTCTTTAAATGTGGTGACAAAATTGGATTTCTGTGCCTGAAAGGCTAAAACTGTAGTTTTAAAGGTATTGGATGTTACCCTTGGGAGATGTTCTACCCAGTTTTTCCCATGGCGGACACATACTGTTCTACATTTGCATTATATGTCTAGTTTCTATCTACACTTTTTATAGTTTACAAAGTGGTTTTGTAGCCAGTGTCTCATTTAATTCAATAGACATGGCTGACACCAAAAAGAATAAGTGAAAATTGGGCAAATAAGATTTTTAAATATTTAA